ACTACTACTACTACTACTACTACTACTACTACTACTACTACTACTACTACTACTACTACTAGTAGTAGTCTAGGTCCTAGTGGTATTTGTCTTGGGGCGCTTGCACAAGTGACAACAACAAAAAACAACCGTAAACGCAAGTAATCATGAACCCCCTGCATCTTGAGGACAACAACGATTTTTTTTTTCTCTTCTGGTCAGTTTCTCAACATGTTTCTCACACAAGTTTCACTTCAACATACTTCAACTCTATGTTGCGCAACCAGGAACGCTTGGACAAGTCGATCTTGGCGTCCATGTCGTGTCGATACACGAAGCTCTCCACAGCCTGCGCTGTACCGCGCACACACACACACACCCTTCCTTGCGTAGAATGATTCAGGGTGTTCGAATTGATTTTGTTTAGGACAAACGTATAATTAGGGCCAAGCCCTCTACCACTCCCAAGACCCAACTTCTTTATTAGGTGAAGATGTTTGGAAGAAAAAGCTCCCTACATTCTCAGGGGACCACAAGTCCGGGCCGGAGTCCGGGCATGACGGACTGTGTTTGGATCGAGGGTCCGCGATTTGGGAATCAAGGACGGGAACACATTCTGTTCTTGGATAGTATACTAACTGATATGAGTCGAGATGTGGCCCGTGATGATCCATCGCTCCTGGGTATGATTGGGTTGATCTGGAGAAAGCAAAATGCCAGGTTTGATCTAAGGGTCAAAGGCCTGAACATCCACATTTCTGAGCTGAGGTCATGCTAGACAAGGGATCCATCAATAGGTGGTCAAGATTTGGTCCATTCATCTCCATTCACCATGAGTATCCCAACAAGAATGTCCTTTTCAGTTTCTTCACAGCTTCACGGCTGCATCTGCTTGATCCACTCCATGGTACCTGCCTCTGTCGACACCTCAGGACCTGCCAAACTCGCTCGCCGATCCGATTCCAGCGCCTCACCGTCCTTCTTCATCGACCAAATGGTCAGGGAAGCACTTACAGTGACCAACTCACCTCGTGCGTCAGCGTGCGTCAGCGTGCGTCAGCTCACCCTCTGGCGGCGCCCACCAACGCGCCATTGGATGGGAAAAAGCGCCATTGGACCCACAGAAAGAGCCCTAGTTGTGTGATTTAGTGTCTATAAGTTGTAGTGTAAAGGTTTCAACTCCCACCAACGGAAGTCAGGCGTCAACCTGCGTGTGGCGTCAGCCTACGCTGGGGAGATCTATAGCCCTCTCCCTCCCTCCCTCCCTCCCTCCCTCCCTCCCTCCCTCCTCCCTCTCTTTCTCTCCTCTCTCTCTCTCTCTCTCGCGAAACCCAACGGAAACTATCCTGCCATCCGGTGAAGCTCTAAGTGTGTGTTTGTATCTTTCGTCGCGGTCCGAAGCGCCAAGCGTCCATGCCCCAAGTCTCGTCCGGGTGCATCGGCATGCTGTTGCGTTCCGCGACAGAGAAGGAGCACTTGCTCATACCTTTTTCGCTGAAACGCTTTTGATCCAAACAACTCTGATCGGTTCACACGAAAAGACCGAAGAAATGAGCAAATCGGTGTCGTTCCAACGAAACATCATGTGACCTTTGACAACGGTCGACAATTGAACTGTTTTAAGCTTGAAACGATGGACCGAAGGAAGCAAGTGCTGGGGAGTCTCCACCTATAAGTGTTTTCCCAAAAAAAAAGCAAAACCATAAAGGTGCTTTCATCATCTTTCATGAAATTACTGTGTGGTGAGCAACAAATAACAATGTGGCTTCTGAACGCATGACTTATGACTTGCATACTCGCCAGGGTGAACTAGCCTGTGCAAACTTGGGCGTGTGCGGGCCGCAGTGGCGTGCTGGGCTCTAACTGGTTGAAAGGTGCCACACCTGTACAGTGTTGCAGGTTCTTCGCTTGCCCGCGTAACATTGGAAACCTCCGAAACCTCAGCCTAAGACTTTGACACCCTTCCATCATGCTTTTTGCTCCACTCTTGCAGGGGTTGTGGGCATTGTTGTGTCCAGGATTCGAGCATTTGTCGTCACATTCGTGTCAACATGACCAAGAGCACTTTTGCATGCGAAGGCTGCTAGGCTGCTTGTGCGCATTGGATTTTTGGGGTTTTCGGCCTCTGGGGGGCCCACTGGGGACCACTGGTTGGAGAGAACTTGGTGAAAGCTGCAATTGATGGAAACCATGAGGACCTGTCTGGAACGAAACATCGAAACCCGGGGGAACCATCCTCTCGAAGATGGTTGTGTTTTTCTGTGGGAACCATCTCTCCCAATCCGATGGCTCGAGGTGTGGGTTGGGTGTGGCTTGGGAATATTGCACCAAATTATAGGGACAGTATCCATCCATGTGGCGTGTGATGGGCGCTTCAGAATCAAGGCTCCGGCTCATTTTTGGTCTGAACCCATTGAACAGCCCCATCGTCACTACACTTGGGACAACTTGGCACTTGACAAGAAGGATCTGTCCAACTGCCGACCCTGAGAGCTTGTTGTTTTGAACGCTTCATCAATAGCGATGGCCTCCAACCTAAGAGCGTTCTTGCTCCGTTCGTAGCGATGCCCTTTGTTCCTAGTAGCGAACATTGCTCCGTTCGTAGTGCGGCCGGGAGCCCCGAGTACAGTCGCGTCCCGTCCGATCGCTCCTAAGGGCGATGGCCTCCAACCTAATGGCGATGTTGCTTCAGTGCGAAAGGGCAAGGTCCACCGCATCCCCATCCCCTTGGATTGTTCACATCTCGGAATCTGGACACGGACACGTCTGGCATCGGACACAGGGCGCAGAAGGGACACCTCAAATTCGATGGTCTCCTCTCAGCTACAATTGAGCAGCTTCATTCAGGTAAGAAGGATAAGTGGCTTGGTTGGAGGTGGTGCCGGCCTGATTGCCAACCATTACCTTTTTTCAAAACAGACCCTTTTCTTGGCTGAGATTCCCTTTCTCACAGGACAAAACGTGGAATCTGTTGTCTTGAATTCGCATTCAGCGGGATTTTCTAGGCGAAGTCGCATGACAGACTTCGTCCAAAACTTCTCATCCTGCTGTTGCAGAAGCCTGGCGCATCTCTCAAAGCCCAGAATTCTCCAAATCTCCGTGATCTCCCAAAGCCCACACAGCAACAAGAATTGGGCAGTTGGAGGCCATCGCTTCTAGGTTGGAGGCCATCGCTATGAGGTTCCTTTTGCTATTAGGTTGGAGGCCATCGCTTCTACACTCCCGGAAATCATCATGGGCCGTGGATGAGATGGCATGGTCTCGGTTTGACTCGGCTGAGGCACTCTGAAGACCTGTGAAACAGGCTGTGAACTAAACGAAACCGATGATTTCATCGGGTGAAATGGGGACAACGACCATCCTGCAAAAAAGTGGTTCATTTACACTGTTATACCATGGTTGGACCCTGATCTTCAACGACCTGAACCTCGAACACCCAGCATTCCCCACATGTATTGGTTGCACAATGTTGCCTTGGCGCACATCAAGGCAAACTTGGTGACATGGTGCTTTTGTAAAACACATATTGCGGGGCTCGCCCACATCTTTGTTTTTGGTACAAGCTCAATATTGTAGAATTCGGCATGTGAATTGTATGCATCGAAGATCGGCGCCGCCTGGTGGCCAAGGGCAGAAGTGCCTGTGGGCCATCTCTTCGAGTACCTTGTGACCGCCGTTGACCCTTCCAACCACCGTTTTGTGGTGCAAACCAAGCCAAAATAGACGGCAGGCATCGGAAAGGGCACCCAAAACAAAAAAAGGCACATGAACAAAACAGGTTTCAAAAGGATCTTATCTTTCAATGGCTGCCTTATGTGGTTCATGTTGACCCGTCGAACTGGAGCCAATCACCTCTGTCCGGGTCAAGATGATCACCAAGTCAACAAGTCCCTGGTCCTCGATCTTCACCTGTCACAGTCACGTTTCCCCTGCAAATGGTTCACCCATTCAATGGAACTTCAACAGTTGCGCAGCCACGCCCCAGTCCGGGCCAGTGGGGTCACTTGAGTCGAAAACACACTTCCCAGACTGTCCATGAACCATTCCCAGAGCCGCCTGCGCACTTTGACCACACGTGCAGCGAGTAAAAAAGAGGCGCTCGCATCGCACATCCCATGGGTCAGGTCACGGTAGCCAAAGGGGTGGGCGTGGCGCACGTCGATGCCATAGAGCTTCAGGAGCCGTTGAAACTCCGGGACTCGCTCGGGGTTCGAGGTCACCTGATCTCGGGATGTCGGGGTTCGTCGTCTGGAAGTCACACAGTATAAGATCTATATATAATGCAAGGATCGTATACATACATATGTATATATACACATGCAAGTATATAATGTATATAAAGTTATATAATTAATCAATACTTAATACAATATATCATATTACATCAGAATTCTAAATTTTTATACGCCTGAGTGGTGTAGGGGTGGAGATGCCCCATCTCTTATGGCATGTGGAACCCGCAATGGCAAATTCCGGTCGAGTTTCTGGTGAGTCTGGCAAGACCTAGCAAGACCCCTGGTCATATTCTTCAATTGGTGACCAAGGCACTCCCAAATAATTGAAATTCGAAAGCTGTTCCAATTCTGTGGGCTTTGAGTGTCGAGCCAAATCCTCCAGATTGGTGGTGCCAGGCTCAGCCTTCGTGCAGTCAAGGCACTGAACCAAGGTCGGGAAGATCGGTGATAAACACTCAGAACCACTTCCGGGAGGACGCAAGCGATCGTCAATGTCGCAAAAATGATCCGTGTACAGTGGTTTCAGAGTAGATGGCACAGTCCGGCCAGGGGCGAGAGCCCCGTCAGGGCCGTGTCCTGCGTAAGGCACTTCTCCTTCTGCGAAGCAGAAAGCGTAGCCGACCCCAGCCGTGAGACCCAGAAAACTCAGGGTGTTTGACATGTTTTTTTCCGCTCTTGTTGCTCACGATGGGTCAACATAGCCCAACATAGGCCCAAAAAAATGCTGGAAATGCGTGCCGCACCGGGGTGCTTCGTCTGCATCGTGGGCGGATGCTGGGCTAACATGGGCCCAAGCTAGGAACATGGGCCCAATATGGCCCAAGCTAGACGCAAGCTATGCTCAACATAGCCCCAAGACCGCGCAACAAAGGCTCCAGATGGCCTAAGCTAGACCCAAGCTGTGCGCAACATAGCCCCAAGCCCGCCCAACATCCACTCCCTCAGCCTGCACCCGCACCCAATCTTCCACCCTCCAGCCCCCTACCTCAACGCCCCTGGCCGGCTGTCGGGCGTAAGCCCTTAAATCCCCAAAAGGTGGTTCATATGGACCCCCCATCTAAAAGACGGGTGCCAGTGCCATCTACTTTGAAATCACTATAGTATCTGATAGTTACTTACCTGAGTGTCGCACCTTGCTGGGAGTTTTGATGGAACTCTTCCCAGCTCGCAAGGGTGGTCGCACGGATCCATGGTGGTGTGCCAGGTCCAACATCTGGTCGTTTCTGGGTCACCGGTGGAACACACATGAGGTCACCGGTGGGAGTGTGCCATCACACCCAAGATCAAGCAGAGCGGATTGTGGCCGGGTTGAAAAGTGATGCAGTCTGAAGGAACACTTTCGTATAGAAACGTACGAAGCAACAAAAAGCCAAACATCACTCGAAGAAGCGTCTCCGCCAGGAGACTGTACCGGGCTTTCTACCAAGGGTTTTTACAGCAAACAAGCACTTGGCACATCTCGGCAGCCCTTAAATAACTGTGGATGTTCCTCTGTCTGGTAAGTCAGCTTTACCCGGGATCTACCACATCACAATCTATACCTCATGCAATCCAGGTCGCCACATAAACCACACGCACTCGTTGGACCATGACATCAGTGCATGTCTTGGCGTGGCTTGGTAAGTTGTGCACGGCTTGTTCCAGCATGCTGAGTGTGCTACTGCTATGCTTGATCAGCGAACTGGTCTCACAACCTAGGATAGCAATATTATTAACCTTGAAGACAATAACTTACAGTATTGCTAAACAGCACATACTGTAAGAACCTAGGTTCCTCCAGGTTTTGCTAACCTGGAGGCTAAACAACTTCTGGCCGCCCCTTCGGCCCATTCTTCGCTTCTATCAGCCTTGGCTGTCCTTCGAAAGTAATCCTTTTCCACAGGTGAAACATCACTTCCAGGCTTTTGAACAGGATGTTCTTTTTTGCTCCAAGGTGACTGGAGTCCAGACTGGAGTTGTTTCACAACCGAGATGTCTTAATGTGTTTGATGTGTTGTTTGCGTTTGTTCTTTCCGAGTACCCTCAAAAACACTTCAACATTGAAAACACTGTGTGAGTCATGACATCTGTACTCTGAGTCCATAGGGGAGCAAAGGGTGCATCATCTTGGGGTGTCGTGGACTTGTGCCAATGTTCCTCATGCAGTGAAGAGCCAAAAGCACCCAAACCATGTCGTTGGGAGGAATATCTCGAGGGAAACGATGCTTCTCAGGTGGTGGAGCCTCCTTTTTGAAACTAAGCAATCCGCATTTGTAACTCAAATCAACATAAACACCTCATTGATGGAGAAATTACTTTGGTCCACAAGAAGTTTCATACCCAAAACAAAACGTTCCAACTTGCACAGGTAAATACTTACTTACAAGTTACAAAGGAATAGGAAAGGATGAACTCACCCAGCAAAACCCAAGAAAAGCTTGATTCAACACCACATGTGTTTTTTGGAACAAAAATCATCCCCTCCAGGAACTCGAAACTGCCAGCGACCGCTTGATGATCCCACCTGCAGGAACTGCACCCCTACCAAGCTGGTGACCGCTTTTGACGCACAGCTGTAAACAGTTTTTGCGTTCGAAAGGGGCAGCCTTTGGCTGGCCCCTGTATGAAAGCACCATGGTCTGACTGGTGCAGGATCCGGCCGGGCCGAACCAGAACGAAAGGGTGCGTTCGGTGGGGAGGTCCGCGAGGTATACCTCTTCAGAGGGGGGTCTATAAACCACCCGAACTGGGTGGTGCTGGATATCACTAGCAACCCCGGATTTTGTTTGGTTCAAAACTTGCTGAAAGCCCGATCATGCGTGAATAAATCGAGTCGAAACCGCAACAAACCATCAGGGACGTCGGATCACTTCGGAGGGGAATCGGCTTGCTTCTTTGCTTCGTTGGGTTGATGCGTCGGTGTCGGTATAAAAACGTCCATGGCTGTGGCCGGTCCAGGATCCTTTTGCCCCAGAAGAAACGGCTTTTTGCCCCCAGTGGATTCACAGGAAATCACGCAATAGACCAACAAATTGTCGTCGAACAGCTGGTGAGCTGGCCCACAGAGCCCCAAGACGATCCAGATTCCCCTTTCTCCACTGGACTTTTCGGGTAGAACTGCGGGGTCAGTCACCACCGCGAACTCCAGAAACCAGCCAAATTCAGACCTCAAACTCGCCAGTCGCAACTTCTCTCCGCATGCTCAGTCTGAAGGCCGGCAATAATAGCCGGCCCGCCAGCCGCACGTTCCGCGCGGCTGCCTTCGCGCCTTCCGCCTTCCCCTCAAACCTCTCTGGAGTCGCTGGAGTCTCCGTCTTCGGGCTGGGTGGACTCCAGATCATCCTGATCACAAAAGGTCACACCCGGCAGTTCGCAGTCCTGATCGCGCCCGCGCGGCGCGCGTGGCGCGTGGCGCGCGTGGACTCGCATGCAGGAGGGGTACGAGAGGCCCACCAGCGACGACGGCCGACAGGTCCAGGACGGTCCAGGTGCGGCACCTCTGGAGTTTCTGAGGTTCTATAAGAGTCGCTGGGCGGAACTTCTACCAGGGCCCCCTGTTTGGGGTGTCTAAGGGGCGCCCCTTAAGGGTTAAGGGATGTCCATTTAGCCACCCCTTCGGCGCCTGACACACTGAAGAGAACATCACCCGGCAATGCATC